TCTGTCGACTTTTAAAAAAATTCAACTCTACAGTTTAATAAAGTGACAATTATTGACATTTCAAAAGTTTGAAATAATTTAAGAAATAATATATAGAGAAAGAAGCGTGTAAAATAGCAAAATTGTCCGCGCAATAGCGTAGTAGTTCGTGCGCTGACATATGATGCGGTGGCACTTCAGGGCGTCCCGAGTTTAAATTCAAGCTCGATGACATTTCCCAACCCTAATCCCTTCTTCTCTCCCACTGCACTTCCTGTCTAATTACTGTCCTATCTAATAAGGGCACAAATGCCAAAAACAAATCTTAAAAAATAAATAAATAAATAAATAAATAACAAAATGTACTGGCAAGTTTATTACAAGTTTTATGTACCGTAATATACAACACCAATCTAGACGATATTTCACTTTAAATTATTAAAAATGTTAATAAAACTCAATTCAAGGGTTAAAGTCGTTGGAAGAAAAATCAGTCGCATAATGCAATTAAAAAAAAAACAATTATGTGTATTTTTAGTGTATGTTGCTTTTTTAAAAAGAGAAACTCAATTTTGATCTATTATGAAAACAAAACAATATTTTACTTGTGTAGAGATTTAAAGAATTCTTGATTCAAAAGTTTTTTTGATATTTGGACTAGAAACTATTTTTGCATCTTTTGTCAGCTTTATTTTTAAGAGTGTAAATTACACTCATTATAGTCATTGTACAATAAACAGCCTAAATCTCCAGGATTGGAACTCAAAACAGATTTAGTCCCCTGGTTTTGGACTAAAATTATATTGAAGCCAGTACATGACAATAGTGTGTCTAAACTACACATCCACAGTAACAGCAGATTGTCAATGTCTACTTCTACATCACAAGCATGTTTAGCTCTGCCCTCCAATTCGCTCATAAAGTTGTGAATAATGTGAGAGGCCAATGCAAAAGACCACAACAAGATGTTGCTCAGTGCAATGTAACAGGAAAAAGGATCTCTGTGTTGCCTTAGTTCAGACCCCCCCAATAATAACAAATGTCGATGACCATTTTATCAATGAAGTTCTTGATTGTAGTCAAGACCTTAGTCCTTTGTTCACTTTATTTGAACAAGGATTTATTTACAAAGAAGGCACAATTCAACATGGATTTTTGAAAGATTAAAAGTGCAAACTGGATCCAGTAGGTAATGTGGCACCAGACAAGAGAGTATATAAAAATATGTTTTCTACATACACTAGCTTATTGCTTTATCTATTATCGGTAGATATCTAGCCTATTCAGTGTTTATATATATATATATATATATAAATAATTTTGATTATATATATATATATATATATATATATATATATATATATATATATATAAATATAAATAATTTTGATTTATGATTTATATATATATAAAATTTTGATTATATATAGCCTAAATTTCTAAGTGTTACATAGACGTACCAAAAGGGATCTGATAATTTACAAGTAATGCTTGTCTAAGAATAAATGATTATGAATTTACAAATGGCCAAACTATACTTGCTACAAACTATAATGTTTATGATAATACATTAAGACAAAAAATATGACAGGAAATTACCCATTTGCAACCAAGCCGCATGTTTTTAAGCAGTTAAAAATGAATGGGAGTAAATGTGACCGGAAGTCTTGACTTATTTAAATAAGAATGGCCAAGCATGCTCTTCCATGAAAAAATAAGGCTGATACAAGATAGCCAGTGAAACAAAAAAACAAAAGGCTACATTAGTAGACACACGGCTGTCCTTTCTAACTTTGGGACCAAATGTATGTAGTTAAAGCAAATTGATGAAAACGTTTACATATGCAAAGCTGAAAACTCATACCACTAAAGTTTACTTACCTGCAGTCTGTCTGTCACACCTAATCCAAACGCTGTGTTCAGATCAAAATGCCAAAACAGGACAAAAAAATGGTTAATTACTTCTAAATTTGTGATGTAAAAACCTTGAAAACATTATAAGTGGACCTCAGAGTACAAAATAATGATTAAGAGTCAGTTGGTGACCCTTACAATTTAGCCTTGACAAAACGCTGAGAGGATAATAAGGCCCGAATAACTCAGACCGCGGCGGCATTCTCCCTCATCTTTCTCTCTCTTACTAGCAAATATTTCATGTTTGTGCAGCTCAAGCGCCGAGTTGGTCATTCACATACAGATTTAATTTCTTTAAAAGCCAAAAGATATAAACATACAATTTGGGCTAATTAAATTCGTGAACTTTTGAATATTTACATTTGTGAGCAACTTCCTGTGTATTTTTTATATAGGCGTATATCGCCCTCTGTTGGCCAAACGCGGGGGATAAACAGGAAGAAATAAGGCTATTTGCTTAAAAGAAAGTTAATCAGTTAAGAACCTCTTCTAAAGGTGGACTAAAAGTTATTGATTTTACAACAATTAATAATTTTTTTTAAATTAATCGTAAAAAAACACTGCCTTTCCCAAAGTAATTCAATGGTTTTATATTCCAAATCTTTTCTTTGAAAAATGTGGTGGATTAAACTTTTTGCTTTGTGACTACAAATGTAATAAACTTCTTATTAAATTATCAAGCTTTCATAAGCAATCATTAGAAATAATTATTCCTGTTTCAGATTTACTAAATAGCAGTGGTGAGATTTATACTTATCAGGAAATTCTTCCTTCTGCAGGGATTGTTTTAAGGATTATAAATTGATGTGGAAAGCATCTCTAATAAACTGCTTTACTTAATGAAAATTCATCTTACTTATAACTCAGTCCTAAAGCAAATCCCAAAAATTGTACTTGGTGGTATCAGTATCTTAGATTTAAAAAAAAATAATAATAATAATAAAAAAGTAATAACTTCTGTCAGAAAATGTCTTATTCAAAATAGCAGTTGTTTCCTGAAAGCCATTTTCAAATAGAAACAAGAATTTTCTTAACCTTATATAGATGATATTTGGTCTACAAGTAATATGTTTTTACTTACAAATAAAGTAAAATAAATTCATTTCAAAATATTACGCAATTACTATTCCTGCAATATATTTATTAATCATTTTTAAAAAGGCATTTCACCACAATGTTCTTTTTGTACCACTGAGCCTGAAAGTCTTGTACATCTGTGTTGTACCTGTACATTTTCTGATGATTTTTGGAAATAGGTTTCAAGGCAGATTTTTGATTCATTTTACAAAATAATTAATGCACGAATGCATGTTTCTTTTTTTGAATTGTAAAACTGGCTATGATGCACTCGATAATGCTTTGAAGTTGATCGTTTTTCTTGGGAGGTTTCACACACACAAGGCAAAAGTAATGTTTATAACTCCCTCCTTAAATTTTTTTCTGTAATGATTTAAAAATATTTTATTATTCTTTGACTTCAATTACAAGTAACAAAAAAGCTCACAAAAAGCCTCTCTAATAATGAGAGAAATAATCTGTACAATCTAATAATATTTAAATAATAATAATATTTAAATATGATGGATCCCCCATATATGTACTGTAGTATTTGTTATTTAATGTATGTTCTGCATCACTGACTAAGTTTTGTATGACTGTTACATATGTTATCATGTAATCCATATGCTTGTCAATTATATGCTTCAATTTTTTTTAAAGCTGATCAGTTAATAGATTTTTTTTAGTATTTTTTTCCATAATATTGGTTATATTTAGATTTAGTTTTTTCACTTTAATTTTATATGCAAATGTGATGGTCAAAATAATGTAGTAGATATTTCTTTTTAGTAATATCTATAATTGGTAACAGTGGAAATTTAATAATAATAATAATAATAATAATAATAATAATGATAATAATAATAATAATAATAATAATAATAATATAACTTTCATTCTTTTATCTATTATTGAAACCGCCAAGTTATTTTCATTATGTAGGACATGTTACTGGATTAACAACTATGTTGACCCTGGAACAACATTCCAATCAGAATTATGGGATATGTTTACTGTTTATGTTAGGTTTAGGCTTAGGTCTAGGTTTATGCACTTTTGCATGATTGTTATCCAACTATTATTCCCCTCTGATTTTCTAAATAGTTTACAGTTATGGTTGGGTTTCGGAGTATGGAATATGTATAAATTACATTTTCCAACCAAAAGTTTGTCCCAAAATCGCATTGTATTTGGCAAAACCATGGCGTGCTTATTGAAACTGGTACTTACTTCATACTTAACTGTGACTGTATTAAATAAATAATCAAATATGGAGAACATGTTAAAAATAACAGAATAATTCAAATAAGAAATTAGATAAAATTATAAAAATGTATGCAACAGCAGTAAATATTTAAGAAAATAAATAAACACATTGAAACATGCTACCTTTTTTTTCAGAAATAAGAAATTCAGTATACAACAGCGGTGACATGGTGGCTCAGTGGTTAGCATTGTCGCCTCACAGTAAGAAGGTTGCTGGTTCAAGTCCCGGCTGAGTCAGTTGGCATTTCTGTGTGGAGTTTGCATGTTCTTCCCGTGCTGGCGTGGCTTTCTCCAGTTTCCCCTTCAGTCTAAAGACATGCGGTATACAGTAGGTGAATTGAACAAGCTTCATTGGCTGTAGTGTGAATAAGTGTGTATGGATGTTTCCCAGTGCTGGGCTGCAGCTGGAAGAGCATCTGCTGCATAAAAGATTTGCTGGATAAGTTGGCGGTTCATTCTGAGGTGGCGACCCCTGATCAATAAAGGTTCTAAGCAGAAGGAAAATTATCAAAAAGACTAGGGGGAAACCGGAGCACACGGATGAAACACATGCCAACATAGGGAGAACATGCAAACACATAGAAATGCCAACTAACCCAGCCGGGGCTTGAATCAGCAACCTTCTTGCTGTGAGGTGACAGTGCTAACCACTGAGCCATCGTATCGCTCTGAATAAAAACATTAATTAAAATAATTTACCAGTCTAAATGACCAACCATCAAATATGAATAATAATAATGTAACATTTCACAAAACAGAAGCACAAAACCAAACCAGACACGTTTTCACATTTGAAATAGAATCTATTCTTTATTATTTGGACGCAGGGAGAAACTTTTATTTATTTCTTAGATTTCATATATTTTTTTTCTCTCTACTGCACAATTTGCATAATTTCATGACATCCTGTGGACAACCACAAAACCATAACATTAGATTTTTTTTCTACTTTTTTTTTACACGAAGTGAAAAACAAGACTCATTTTACAAGCATTTTTACAGATGATGTGTTCAGTTTTTCTCTCTTTTTAAACTGAATCCGGAGGCAAAATATATCAACAAACATCTAACAAAACATGCAACATCTATGTAAAAACATAGAAACTCTTTGACAACCATTCAATTTGACAGAAAATTTTGATGTTGTCTTTTTTTAGGGGGGATTTCTTTTTTTTTTTTTTTTTTTAAATTCCGAGAGATGTTGTTGATTTTGTCAAACAGATTGGAAATGGGTTGATCGAACACATGATTTTGAACCAATCCATATATATTACACATTTAGACAAATACAATATGTACAGACAGAGTTTGACCTTGATCACAATCACATGCTCAACGTCAGACCAAATAAATATTCAGACCTCTTCTCGTAGAAAATATCCTATATATTTACAAAATCAAAAAATAAACAACTGAATTCACATTCACACTGTTTACAGCAACTTAATTCATCAAACGCTGGATGGTTTTTCAAAAAGGAATGAAGTAATAATAGGATAAAAGAGGAGATGGTGATAAAATGTGCTTGTTTAAAGGAAAAACTCAACCAAAATCACACTTTGAAATGTGCGATGCTTCAGGTGATAACTGATGACACTTGTTACACATTTAAATTGGCTGCCATAATTATGCGCAGGATAAAATATGCATTGTTATGATTCAGATCTGCACAGATATTATTCCCCACCCCAAGAAAACCCAATGTATTTCAACATTTAAGATAAAATGGAAACCTATCAAACAATAACGTAAAGTGCATATGAGCAATATGTACTGTGCCATAAAGAGGAAGTTAAAAAATAAATAAATAAAAATAAACACTATACAATATTCATAGAATTTTCTTCTTTTTCTTTAACAGATATACATATATTCATACACTCTCTTGATGTCGCATGTTAAGGTATATGCATTCAAAGAACATAATCCATGTTGCATAGATTTACCCAAACAGAACCAGTGGATTTGGTTAAAACATCAGGTTGGCACACGATAGTTTTATCTTACCACGACAGCAACCTTTTAGATTCAGGTACATCTGTGCACCACCTGTGCAAGATGCAGATGAAATCATTTGGAAACGTTGGCGTACGTTTATCAGCCACTCTGTTTCCGACTTAAACCGATAATAAAAACACTGACTTTTAAGATAGAAAATGACTGTCTGGTGTTTTCAAGACCCAAAGGAAACGTGCCTTTATTTAATAATGGCACCTGCAATATGTTTATATGGTGCAGGCTAATAAAGAGGCAGTGATAATAATGAATAATAAAGTCCTTTTAGATGAACTTCACAGCAGGAAATCAATATTAAAAAGTGCACCACCGAGAACACATATAGGACAAATAAACAACAAACATCACATCTGGATTTCAGTCGAGCCAATCGAGCCAGACGAGGACTCAAATGTACGTTAATTATTGTCATAATTATTATTTTTCATATATATTTTTTTTGTCATTGCATATTTGGATTCCACACACACAACTTGGTCACTAAACAGAGACGACATCTGACCACTAACAGGACATTTACTTCAAGATGCTGTTCAGAAAACAAACACATCGTGGACACAAACAATCGAAAATAGATGCCCTTTAACCTCAGAGATACCTCCCGAGACGCTGAAAACAAAGCACGGCATCATTTAATCATTAGGTGAAAACCAGATCATCTCGATTTCAGTGAGGTATCAGTGTATCCATCGCCAAACAAACGCTGAAGACGACACTCAAGACATTACAGACGGAGGAATCGTGAACTCTGCATTCATTATGAGGGGAAATCCGTTATATTTACGATTGTCTTTCTGTCTTATGGGATAACCTCCATACAGTGCATAACATAGTCTGATATGGTCATTATATATATCTCATGATTGTGTTAACAATGATATATTATGCTACGTCTAACTTGTGATTTTTAATAAATTTTTTTGCAATGAAAATGTGAAATGTAAAAAAAAAAAAGTGGATATTTTAGATGTATGATGTAGTTGCAAAGATACTCATGTGATCTGAAATTGATTTATATTGTAAATCCTAGTGAACGATTGGAAATTCAGAACGTCACAAATAAACATTTCAGTTTCATCCATTCAGATGTTTCTTTAACTTGGTTTTCCATTCCCACCACCTGACATTCATTTCTATACCTGTGTTGTTTCTCTTTCCTGAAGGGCGCTGATGGGAGTGTCTGATTATGGCTGTGTCTGACTGGTAGTGGGCACCAGCTTGTGCCAGCTGACCGCCCGCTTTCTCATGTCCACCTTGTCCAGCCAGATGTAGGCCTCGCCGATCAGGGTCTTCTTCATAAACTTCCCTCCATTTGACACCAGGAACAGCTGTGAAGGCGATACAAGACAGAAAAAGGTAAACACAGAATAAGAGGAAGCTAAATAGTTAAAATAATGCAATACATACATTACCATTAAGTGTTTGGGGTCAGCAAAATCTATTGTTTAAGGGTTATGAAACCCTCAAGTAAATTTTCAGAGATTTTAACATGTGTTGAACGTTAATTAAAGCAATATTGGCAACTGTTAGCTTTAATTGTTTGGATTAATTGGATAATTTTGAGCTGCCCTCCGCCTAATTTCATCTTCCAGGTTTAAAATCTATATTAGGGAGCGGCGTCATTTGTAATGATATAGATTAGGCAGTCTGATCTTATGAGGAAACATAACTATTTTACGTTTTGTCAGTTTAGTGGCTAATTCATACAAATTTGTGAGTTCAATTGTATAAAAATAAAGGGTTTCACGATCCTCCAAATCCTCGATTTGATTACATTTTCGATTTTACAGTAAAGGTTCGATTCGATTCTCGATTTAAAAAAGAAAAATTTGAAAGCACAAGCTATGCCATTTTAAGAGTTTCATGAAGCTCTGTGTTGCTCTGAAGGTCCAGCAATCTGTAGTCAAGGCTACTAAATGTGCACTGCAAAGACTTTTAATAACTTCCTCCTTCACATTATTGTACATGGAGGGTATCACCGTAGCTGAGAGATGTGTTCCACTCGGGATTTCGTAGCGTGGTTCTAGCACGCTAATTAACTGCCTAAAATCAGAGTTTTCTACCACTGAGTAAGGTCGCATGTCCGTGGCAATAAATACTTCTACCGCGCTTGTAATTGCCTTTGCACATGTTGACTTAATTGGAAGTTTTATTCCAAATAAAGATGGGAGAGTAGTGTGTGTTACACTTGTCGGTTTAACAGATAAATCTATGTTTTTTTGGTGCCCGCCGAGATGCCCTGCCATGTTAGTGGGTGGAATAATGTAGTATACGTAAATAGCAGAGCTTGCAAACTGTGTTTTTTTGTCAACAACACGAACGTTGTCAACAGAATCCAAAATACTTCCACAACAGCGACTTTAGTAAAAGAGAAGGGGGGTCAAGTTCTGTCGAAGGGTCTCCCGCGTCTGCAGTTTCCCATGCTATCTTTTTGCTGTTTGTTGTAGCTGTTAGGTTGACTCAGCAATTCAACAAGCATGTGTATTTTTTTTTCGCTTGGCAAGCCAAGCTAACGTGATAAGGAGCATGGCAACATCGATGATTCTATTTTTTGATTCGATAATCGAGATTGAGCATAAAATTTGATTTTAAATCGAAATCGTGACACCCTTAATAAAAATGTACATACCCATCCAACCATCATTGACAAGCAAATCATACTAAATTGTACCACTGAGATCATCTAAACTCATACAAATTAGCCACTAAATCAAAAAAGTTACGAATTGCCATGAGATATCATTGGATTAGGACTGTGAGTACTTTGATGACACATCAGTCTAATTATTATTCATGAGACTGAGCTTTCTTATCATATGAGAAGACAGTGCATTTTTTCGGTCAAGCAGTGAGTTCCCTCAGTAGTTAGGCATCCATTATATTTTGCGCTGCTTACAACTTACACAAAAGAAGATATTCTAGAATGTTCGGAGAAAACAGACAATGACATCCACAGTAGGAACAAAAAAGACTTCTAGAAGCCAAAAGCTGTTCTTTTCCAACATTTTTCAATATATGAGTGTGTGAGATGAACAACGTTTAAGTCCAAAAAAAGAGAGAGATAACCTTGAGACATTAATTGTATGTGTGAAGTTTGCATACAGAAACAGTTTGTGGATATTTTTGCAGAAAACCGTTTATGTCCACTAATTCAAATAGAGATGGACTGTGGGGGAAAAAAGGAGAACCCAGAGGAAACCCATGTGAACGCAGGGAGAACATGCAAACTCCACACAGAAACGCTACCTAACCTAGTCAAGGCTCGAACCAGCGACTTTCTTGCAGTGAGGAGACAGCACTACCTACTGCGCCACTGCGTCGCCCGTATTTATTGTTGTATTTATTTATTTTTATTTTTATGTAATTCATTTATTTATTATTATATTATAAAAATTATAATATAATGTTCACAATCCAAATAA